GTGATAAAACAAAATAGCAAAGTGGGGGGTGCAATTTACAGAATAAAAAGTACAAAAGTACAAAATATATATACTTAATAGTAATCGTTGATTGAACTTAATCTGTAAAACATAAAAGTCCATACATAGTGTAAAACTGTAAATAGTAGAAACGATAAAAGCAAAGGTATTGGGTCACTCACAATAAATAGAGCCTAAAATTGCAGGCTCTAGCTTGATTGCATATGGAAAATCAGCTTTTCCAAGCTATTCAGGATATCCCCACGATCTTCCTATGAGAACTGGTGCAGAATTCCAGATGTAGGAAAGATGGGTAATAGACCAAAATATTGAAGCTTTAAAAAGTATTTACTTTGATAAAATAACAAATTTAAAAGTATTACATAAAAAACACAACGCGTTTCGACAATATGTCTTTCTCAAGTGTAAAGTCCTCTTCTTCCGGCGTCCTTTTAAATCTGTGTTCCCGGAGATCAAATTTCCCGCCGAATTCCACTTCCGGTATGACGTCATGACGCACGTTCCGTCATTGCGTCATGACGTGTCAGCCGTCATTACATCATTTCCTATACGTCCATTCGGCAACCCGGAAGTGACCAGGGAGCTCCATATTATAAACGGGCAAAAACAGTCCTAATGATGGAGAACGACTAATTGCCTTATATTTCAAAATAATCAAGCAAAATATAAAAAAAAAGAGAATACAATTCTCATATTAAAATGCACTGAACATATTATTGAAATTATATTCAACAAAATACAGAATAAAAGCGTACAATTCTCATATTAAAATACATTAAACATATATAATAAAGCAACTATGTATACATTATAAAAACTATATAAAATATATAATAAGAACAAATTAAAATCTTTGCATGATATGTGAGTAATATATAGTTGCATATATAGGCATATACAGTGATATAATAAAACAATTAAAACAGGAAATCAGTGTCATCAATGCTTCTAAAGGTATAAAAGAAAAGAGAAGACAATGTTAGAATAAATATAAAATGTATTCATAAAAGATCATATCAATGCGGCCATCTCAAAATCCACGTTGAGACCGCTGGGAGACAAGGTGTCCAAATTAAAGATCCACCTCATCTCACAGCGGCTCAACGTCGATTCTACATGACCACCCCTCCAATGGGGTTTAATATGTTGAACACCAAAAAAACTAAGCCCTGTGGGGTCTCCTCCATGGTTTTTCAAAAAATGCAAGGAAACATTGTGTTTCAAAAAACCTTTTTTGATATTATAAATATGTTCTCGTATTCTTGTTTTCAGTGTCCTTGATGTCTTCCCGACATACTGTAATCCACAAGGACATACGAGAACATATATTACATTTTTTGAATGGCACGTAATAAGGGAATCAATTTTATAATTATATGTTCCTACTCGTGATTTAAAACTATCTAATTTTTTAGGTTTGTTCTTATAAATGTTACATCCCATACAGTTACCACAATAGTGGAAACCTTTATTATTATCCTTATAGGTGCTCAAAAAATTATTATTATTCTTAGGTATATCTAAATAACTGGTAGTCAAGATTTGTCTAAGATTTTTTGCTCCCCTAAATACAATTTTGGGTTTATTTTCAATATGAGGTAAAATGTCTGTATCCTGCTGTAAAATGTGCCAATTTTTATTGACCACTCTCTTAAGGGCTTTGTGTTCCTTACTGTAATTGAAAATCATAGGAATTTTATCATCCCTTTTTTTATCCCTAGATTTATATACTAAAAGAGATTCTCTTTTTATTTCTTTAACAGTCCTAATTTCCTCTTCTAATTTATTGGAGTCATAGCCCCTATCTATAAAATAATCTTATCTAGAACTTCTAGATTTCTGTTTCTTTGATCAACAATTATACGCATCATCGTTATTGTAAATTATTCTAATGCGTTTTCCCAAATGTCTATAAATCTTTTATCATCTCTATCAAAAGTGGGATATTTGGTAAACCTAAGACCCCTAGGTGTTATTCGGTCACTTAGGTATTTATTCATTGTAAAAATTTCCCATTTAATTTTTAACTCTTTTGTAAGTAATTTTTCAAGTAGAGAACACATCTCATCAAGATTATCACTAATCTTATATTTTTCAGGTGTCTCTATCTCTACTTCATCAAAAATATTTTGTACATATTTATGCATAGTGGCTCTTTTTTCAAATATAGCCATATTACAGCAGCCCACACCCAAGTGATTTAAACAACAAATGTAAACAAACAAGAAAAATTCCCCAAAGAGGGAATAAATAAAGGTAGATTGGCGCTGTGCACAGAATAGCAGCTACCCCCAGTGTCTGAAAATCACTCAAAGACACTCCCAAATAGTGATAAAACAAAATAGCAAAGTGGGGGGTGCAATTTACAGAATAAAAAGTACAAAAGTACAAATAATAAAAACAATGTACGCAACCATCACTTAAATTAACATAGACAAATCATTATCGTAGTTTAACCCCTTAGTGACCAGACCATTTTTCAATTTTCTTACCGTTAAAGGACCACTCTAGGCACCCAGACCACTTCAGCTTAATGAAGTGGTCTGGGTGCCAGGTCCAGCTAGGGTTAACCCATTTTTTAATAAACATAGCAGTTTCAGAGAAACTGCTATGTTTATCAATGGGTTAAGCCTTCCCCCTATTCCTCTAGTGGCTGTCTCATTGACAGCCACTAGAGGCGCTTGCGTGCTTCTCACTGTGAAAATCACAGTGAGAGCACGCCAGCGTCCATAGGAAAGCATTGTAAATGCTTTCCTATGAGACCGGCTGAATGCGCGCGCAGCTCTTGCCGCGCGTGCGCATTCAGCCGGCGGGGAGGAACAGAGGAGGAGAGGAGGGAGAGCTCTCCGCCCAGCGCTGGAAAAAGGTAAGTTTTAACCCCTTTCCCCTTTCCAGAGCCGGGCGGGAGGGGGTCCCTGAGGGTGGGGGCACCTTCAGGGCACTATAGTGCCAGGAAAACGAGTATGTTTTCCTGGCACTATAGTGGTCCTTTAAGGAACAGAGCTGTTTTTACATTTCTGTTTAGCTGTTATTGTCCTCTTACACATTTACTGTACCCACACATGTTTATATACAGTTTTTCTCGCCATTAAATGGTCTTTCTAAAGATACCATTATTTTCAACATATCATATAATTTACTATAAAAAAATAATAAAATATGATGAAAAAATTAAAAAGCACACTTTTTCTATCTTGACGGTATGAATGGGTATGACAACAAGGAAGTGTGTAATCTCTGCCTTAGCTACACATACTGAAGGGGCCGGACTGTGGGTGGCCAGGGACTCTTATTTTGTGGCATACTGCACGAACATGGTTCAACACTGAATGGAGGGACAATGCCAGGGCACTCCAGGCACTATAACCAATTCAAAGAGATTAAATGCTTATAGTGACTACAGTGTCCCTTTAATAGTTTCTAAATTTTGTCCTGAGTTTAGAAATACCCAATATTAAAGGAACACTATAGTCACCTAAATTACTTTAGCTAAATAAAGCAGTTTTAGTGTATAGATCATTCCCTTGCAATTTTACTGTTCATTTCACTGTCATTTAGGAGTTAAATCACTTTGTTTCTGTTTATGCAGCCCTAGCCACACCTCCCCTGGCTATGATTAACAGAGCCTGCATGGAAAAAAAAAACTGGTTTCACTTTTAAACAGATGTAATTTACCTTAAATAATTGTATCTCAATCTCTAAATTGAACTTTAATCACATACAGTAGGCTCTTGCAGGGTCTAGCAAGCTATTAACATAGCAGGGGATAAGAAAATCTTAATTAAACAGAACTTGAAATAAAGAAAGCCTAAAGAGGGCTCTCTTTACATGAAGTGTTTATGGAAGGCTGTGCAAGTCACATGCATGGAGGTGTGACTAGGGTTCATAAACAAAGGGATTTAACTCCTAAATGGCAGAGGATTGAGCAGTGAGGCTGCAGGAGCATGTTCTATACACCAAAACTGCTTCATTAAGCTAAAGTTGTTCAGGTGACTATAGTGTCCCTTTAACATGTTCTTAGCTTTTTGGAAAGTTATAGGGCAATAAGTACAAGTAGGACATTGCTGTTTCAAAATAAATATTTTTTTATTAAAATTCTTTATTTTTGTTATGCAAAGTATAACAGTAGCACTTGCCTTGCCCCATCAGCAGTTTCAGTACTTTGGATTCAACATATTAAAAACACAAAAAGTAGTAAATTGTTTGCAGTACTTTGGATTCAACAAGTTATAGACCAGGGCTGTCCAACCTGCAGCCCCCCCAGATGTTGCTGAACTACAACTCCCATGATTCCCTGGCTTTCTGTTTCATTGAAAGAATCATGGGAGTTGTAGTTCAGCAACATCTGGGGGGCCACAGGTTGAACAGGCCTGTTATAGACAAAGGCTTGGCAGTTAGAAACAGCGCATTTTGTAATAAAAAGCAGTACGTTTGCGGGCCAGTGTGTGATGGTCAGCTTCGGGAAATAAAACATTAGCTGTGTAGCCTGTGGTAGTGTCTGTTCGGTCTATCACCTCTTAGGGGGGGAGTATGTAGTTACAGTTAGGGGCAATTTGAGGCAAAATAGACCTTTTGCCTCCTAGTCAGTTGCTAGATATATAGCGTGGTTCTATGCATAGAGGAGGCTAGCACCCTCTGGTTAACATGATGGACCTAATGTGCGACCTGTGGGTGAGTAAGTGGGGGAGGGATAGGGGTGTTACAGGGTGCAGCACTTGAGCCAGCAAATAAGGGAGAATATGTGTCAGCTGGTACCTGAGTTAGTGTCAGGTCTTAGATAATATTAAAGTAAAACATTATTTAGGCAGTGAAACAAAAACAATTGCAGGCAAAACATAGCGTTAGACTGTCCTGGAGTGGAGAGGTATTGCGATCTGTCCAGTCCTTCAGGTGGTAGCTGCCGCTGCCGAGGTGCCTCGTTTTGCAGCTGGTACAAAGGAGCGACTCCTGGCTGGGTCCCAAGTGTGGGGTTGTGGTACTTAGGTCGTCGGTATCAAACTTTTCAGTGTCAAGGGCAGTCCCAAGTGTTGCAGGGTGTTGTTTATTTCCGCGGCCTCTTGGATTTTTAAGTTCCCTGATTCTCGGGGTATTAGCAGGCATTTTGGGGAGCTCCATTTATAGGGGATATTATACCATACCAGTTCCGTTGTCAGCGGTTTTATGGACCTGCGCCATTCCAGTGTTGCCCTTGAAAGGTCTGGGTAAACCGTGAGCTTGTGGCCTTCAAAGTCGTATGGTGATTTGTTTCGTAGCGCCATTAGGAGCACTTGCCTGTCTGGCCCATTCTGGAAGCGGACAATAACATCCCCATTCACCTCTGTAGAGCGCGATGTAGGTGCTGGTAGTCTGAAGCACCCGTCTAGGGCCATCATTTTTGCTTGCTTGGCCGAGAAGAGGTGTGTAAGTAGCCTCCTCATAAAGTGAGGGATTTCAGCCGCGCTGATCTGGGCTGGTATGCCCCTAATCTTAACATCCTTCCATCTCCGGTCCTCCATCATCGCCATGCGGTTCTGGGTCTGGGCCTGCTCATGCCGCAGCTCGCGAATCTCTTGTTCCATGGTATTTAAGCAGGATTCATGTGCGGCCAAAGATATCTCGGTGTCATTGAGGTGTCTCGACACTCCGCTAATCTCCTCTTTGAAGGAGTTTATGTCGGCAGCTAGATTGCGACGGAGGTTGTCTAGGAGTGCCTTCAGTGTTCCCTCCATCACCAGTGAGCCTTCAGACCTTTTAGTCGGTATGTCTGCTTTCTGTTTTCCAGCAATGGTGGCCAGCTCCTCCAAATCTGGGAGGGATGTTTCGCTGGAAGAATAAGATAGCCCGTCAGATAGGGGCGCCATGACAGGCTTCATCATTCCCTGAAGCCTCCGCAGAAGCTCTCTGATGTCGTCAGTTGTCGACTGTTTGTCAGCTTTATACTTCTTTGATTTCCGCCCCATCTTTAGTAGGTGCAGCTCTCTCTTTTAGTGTGCAGTTTTTGGGCTTAGAAAGCAAGTTTTAGGCTGTATTTTGCCGAGTTTGTCAGGAGCTCTCTCTCGTCTAGTCAGCACAGTAGCTGGCTCCGCCCCCAAAATAAATATTTTAAAAATGTATCAATAGTGACATTGTAACAATGTTATCTGTCATAAATCTCTGAGTCACACCTCACATGTACATATTTTTTTTTTAAAGTAGACAACCCAGGGTATTCAATATGGGGTATGTCCAGTATTTTTTAGTTGCCACTTAGTCACAAACATTGGCCAAAGTTAACATTTATGTTTGTTTGTGTATTAAAAATAAAAAAAAAACAATTATGAAATTTGGCCAAATTGAACGCTAATTTTGGCCAGTGTTTGTGACTAAGTGGCTACTAAAAAAGACTGAACATACCCCATTAGCAATACCTTGGGTTGTCTTCTTCTGCAAATGGTATGCCATCATGGGACTAATTCTCATTCCTGGGCTACCACACGCTCTCAAAGGCAACATAACCAATCTTGTAAATTTCAATGTGAAAAACAGAAAATCAAGCCTTATATTTGACCTTGTAACCTTTCAAAAACACTATAAAACCTGTACATGAGGGGTACTGTTATACTCTGGAGACTTCGCTGAACACAAATTTTAGTGTTTCAAAACAGTAAAACATATCACAACAATGATAGCATCAATGAAAATACTGTTTGTGTGTGAAAAATGCAAAAAATGTCTCTTTCACTGACAATATCATCGCTGTGATATGTTTTACTGTTTTGAAACACTAATATTTGTGTTCTGCGAAGTCTACCGAGTAAAACAGTATCCCCCATAAACAGGTTTTAAGGTGTCTTGGAAAGTTACAGGATTAAATATAGTGCTAGCAAATTAAATTCTCTGGACTTTCCGCCTGGGTTGTCAAGCAGGTCCCCCAAATTGCAATCAATAAAATTACTTAATTATGTAAAAATATTACATAAATATGCACGTATAATTTAAATATATATACATATTTATATATTTGAAGTCTACGTGTATATTTATGAAATCATTTATGTAATTATGTATATGGACATATGTATATTTCGTATTATTTTCATATATATATATATATATATATATATTATAATTTTTTACATTTTATTTATTTTTAATTATATATATATATATATATATATATGTGTGCAATTTTACTCTAAGTGAATTTTTTATTAATATATGTATATATGTATAAAAAATACACTTAGTATGATGTTATATATGAGATATATATATATATATATATGTATATAAATATATATGTGTGTGTATATATATCTCATATAATTTTTTCAATTTATTAACTTTATTTTTGTATTTTAAAACGTATTTTTAAACTTTTTTTCACCAGCAGGGGCACTGCCTGTCAGTTCAGGCAGCCCCCCTGCAGGCAACACTTATGGACGCCTATTGCAGCCATGTGACCGCTCTTTCAGTCCTATTTTGCCGAGGGGGGGCTGTCTGGGCTGTCAGACAGTCCCCCAAGATGGAGAAGAAGACCGCCGGCAGGGGAACAACGTAGATCGGGTAAGTAATTTAGGAATACCTCGAACGTACTTTGTACATCCGAGGTCCTGGGGGGGGGGGAGATTATTACTTATATATGTATATATATACCAATGTAGGATGACCAGCACTCACGGATTTCCAAAAAGTGATTAAAAAGTTAAAGTTTTATTTTGTACATGCACTTTATAAATCTATTGATTGTAGATAAAATGACTCATATGGCATATATTGCCTCTTTAAGTGTAATATATATTAGATATTTAAGTAATTCACCCTTTTCATGATATCATTAGCACAACTTCACAGGTCTTATTATCGACATAGATATTCAGCATTTGGATATTTTATTTAATGCTACTGGATAGTATTCACTCAGCATCTCTGTTTTACAACCCTGTTAGTTTATACTCGGGTTGCAATGGAGATGCGGCTTATTCTGAGGTCTCTATGACAATGGAATCACGTGATCACGTAGAGTGGGGGCAGAGCACGTCACGCATGCGCAGGGCACACTGGGGGCCGCGGGCGGATGCACTTAGGGGATCGGGTACACCTGGGGTAAGTTTATTTACAATTATTACTTGTCTTATATATACTTGATCTGTGATATGGCTCTTTGTTCCTGATGAAAGTCCCAGACGTGGACTGAAACGTTGAAGCAGCTTTTTAAGAGATGGATTAATAAAACTTTAAATTTTTAATCACTTTTTGGAAATCCAAAGTGCTGGTCATCCTACATTGGTATGTGATATCTTCCCCTGATTTCAAGCACCTGGTCTTATTGCTTTTGGAGTCAGAGTGCAAGGATACTGTGGATTGTCTTATATATATATATATATATATATATATATTTTTTTTTTAATTTAAATTGTATTTATTTTACTGAGTGGTCGAGGCACTCAGCAGACAGGCAGAGCATTGGAAGCCTGCCTGATTGCTTCCGATGCTCTGCCTGTCTGCTGAGTGGTGGGTGGGGGCCCCAAAAACTAATTAGGGGGGACCTAATGTCCTCCCCCTGGACCCCACCCCACTTATAAAGCCTTGCCCCGCCCTGCTATTAGGCTCAGAGCACTCTGATTGGTGGGTTTAAGCCATCCAATCAGAGTGCTCTGACAGGTAAGTCTCTACATTTACCTGTCACAGCACTCTGATTGGTTGGCTTGAAATCCACCAATCAGAGTGCTCTGTGTCATTTTACACAGCGTGGGAAAGTTCTTTGGAATTTCCCCACGCTGTGTAATTTGAATCATAACTCTCTGATTGGTTACTTAATCCACCAATCAGAGAGTTATGAGTCAAATTACACAGCATGGGAAAATTCCAAAGAAGATGGATTATTTTTTTTGCGCTGGTTTTTTTTTTTTTTTTAAGTGAGTCGGTTATTATGGCTTTTTATTTGGCCTTTTTTGGAGCTGGAAAAATAAGATTTTAGAAGAAAGAAAACATCAAATGGTAATTTTTTTTTTCAGGTACTTAGTTTAATGGTCCCCTCTCATTATTATTAGGGTGAGAGGGGTAGGTAGGGGTTAATTTTTGGGGGGTAGCGGGGTGACTAGGGGTTTGGGGACCCCTAGTCACCGGGGGAGAGGGGGTTATTTTTTTTATTTAGGGCCCCCACCCACCGCTCAGGGGTGGGGGCCAGGAAGGAGGACATTAGGTACCCCCCTAATTAGTATTTAGGGCCCCCACCCATCATTCAGGGGTGGGGGCCGGGGGGAGGACATTAGGTCCCCCCCTAATTAGTATTTTAGGGCCCCCACCCACTGCTCAGGTGTGGGGGCCAGGGGGGAGGACATTAGGTCCCCCAATTAGTATTTAGGGCCCCCTCCCACTGCTCAGGGGTGGGGGCCAGGGGGGAGGACATTAGGTCCCCCCCTAATTAGTATTTTAGGGCCCCCACCCACCGCTCAGTTGTAGGGGCCAGGGGGGAGTACATTAGGTCCTCCCCCCTAATTCTAATTTAGGGCCCCCACCCACCGCTCAGGTATTTTAGGGCCCCCACGTACCGCTCAGGGGTGGGGACCCAGGGGGAGGACATTAGGTCCCCCCTAATTAGTATTTTAGGGCCCCCACGTACCGCTCAGGGGTGGGGACCAGGGGGGAGGACATTAGGTCCCCCCTAATTAGTGTTTTAGGGCCCCCACACACTGCTCAGGTGTGGGGGCCAGGGGGGAGGACATTAGGTCCCCCCTAATTAGTATTTTAGGGCCCCCACCCACCACTCAGGGGTGGGGGCCAGGGGGGAGGACATTAAGTCCCCCCCCATTACTTTACTTTAGGGCCCCCACCCACCGCTCATGGGTGGGGGCCGGGGGGAGGACAATAGGTCCCCCCCTTATTTTACTTTAGGGCTCCCACCCGCCGTTCAGGGGTGGGGGCCGGGTGGGGGCAATAGGTCCCCCCTTCAGGTTAGGAGGGGGAGGGGGGCCATTTTGGGTTTTTTGTTGTTGTTTTTTTTTACAGTGAGCAGCCAGAGGCAGGTTTAATAGACATGCCCCTACTTGCGGTATAGCGAGTAGGGGCATAATTTACTAATACTAATTAATCTTTACTTAGTATTAGTAAATTTGGCTGAAAGACCAATTCAGGTCATTCAGCCTTTTAGTAGATAGCTCCCTAATACCGTGGGAATTAGGGAGTTATCTACTTATTCATTCCTGTCATTACACTGACTGGCTAAGTAACTTACATTTTATATGTTGCAAATGCTTACAGCTGAATCCTGGCTATGTTTGTATACTTTTTATTTAAAATTGTATACAGTGTAACATTCTTCTTCTTCCACTGGGTAAGTAAATTAGTACTTAGGCAATACTGTGATTCAAAACTTCGGCAATTTGGCACTTCGGCAACTTCGGCAACTTCGGAACTTCGGCACTTCGACACTTCGGAACTTCAGTAATTTCGGAACTTCGGGACCTCGGTAATTCGGCACTTGCTATTCGGACATTCGGAAGTACCCGAATGTCCGAATTGCCCGAAATTCGTCCAAATTCATATTCGGTCCGAAACTAATTGCACATGTCTAGAAGCGATCATGATTGCTTCCAGTGCTCAAATTTGCCACGGACATATCAGGTACGTCTGAGGTTGATAACGACTATATTTGTCAGATGTACCTGATACGTCCTCGGTCATTAAGGGATGAAATCCAGTAAGTCTCACGTAATAATAATTTCATACTTCTCTCACCCCTCCTGGCCAACTCTGTAATCTGTTCTAAAATCTGGAACCTTAGTTGGGAGACATTATGCCTTGCTTCCAAGAAATGAGCAGGAAGAGGTAAGTCAATCAATCCAGTGTGGATTGTCGACTTATGTTTTGAAAATCTTATTTTAAACTTTCGGTTAGTTTGGCCCACATATAAGAGACCAGATGGACACTTGAGTGCATAAATCACAAAGTCAGAGCTTCAAGTCAGAACTGACACAAT